ACTATGTAATTTTATTGTCTTGATAAATTTTCTTTCAAAATTAATTCATGAATTTCTCAATTTTTACAATCCTCCCTTCAAATTTTTTTAATCCCAAAATCTTTATATCATTTTTTGGTTGTTGTTGAAAATCTCTATAAATTGAACCTATATTGAATCATTTTCTACTTAAAACTCACTAATCAGAACATCACACATTTCACCTAAAAATAAATATTAGACTTATATTTTTCCTTGTTTAAAACTTCAATCTTTCACCTCACAAAATCTTTAAATATCATTATTTTATTTTCTCCTTTTGAACCATTTTAATAATCTTTTTATCTCAAATTCATCGTATTATACTTCTTATTATTCGATTCAACATTAAAAAAATGATGGTCGTATGTAAAAGAAAGTGATAGGGGAACTCAAACCACTAGTGCAAAAATTAGATTTAAAATTGAAGTTTTAAGATCAATTACAAGGTAACCAATTTTAAAAGTGACGCGGTGACAATTTTGTAAATAATATGAACACTTTTAAGATCGGTTAAAATTTAACCGATCTTAAAAGTTGTATCAGACAACTTTTAAGATCGGTTATTTTATGACCGATTTTAAAAGCGCTACTTTTAAAATCGGTTATTTCAGAACCGATTTTAAAAGTGCTACTTTTAAAATCGGTTATTTCAGAATTGATTTTGTATGTAGTATATAAAATCGGTTCTTAAATAACTAATTTTAAAAGTATCGTCAGAAACCTTTTAATATTTCCCTCCATTCGCATTCTCTTCTTGTGTCTCTTTTCGTTTTCTTATGCTCTTCTCTTGTCTCTATTTTCGTTGTAGGTTCATTTTGGGTAAATTTCGAATCTGGAACGGTCCGTTCTACAAGGAGAACGACCCTTGCTGCATGTAGAACGACCCGTTCTTCAAGGAGCAGAACGACCCGTACTGCAAGGAGAACGGGCCGTTCTGATGTCTGTTCTTCAAGTAGTCTTTTTAACAATCTGGATCAATCAAGTGTCATCATTCGTGAAAGATTTTCTGCTTCAGGACAAGTGGTTCAAAGGTGAGGTGGTCTTATCTCTTTCCTATTTTTTTTTTTCTTTTTTCCGTAAGGGAGGGGGGCCTCTGACATTTTCTTTTGTATTCTTTCAATTGTAATATCATATTTCTTGCCTTTTATTTGTATATTTATATGTTTTTGTGTTTTGGTTGAGCTATACAGAGAATATAAAATTTTGAATCTGCTGGATTTTACTAGCAAAAGAAAGCGCATGTCAGTGATTGTGCGTGACGAGGATGGAAGCATTATTCTTTTCTGCAAAGGAGCCGACAGGTTAGCATATTAACGTGACTTCTATCTAAAATATTGTCAGCTTGGCTGAATTGACGGTGTTAATGATCAAGTAGGACCTTCTATCGATTTCTACAATGGAATAATTAAAATCTTCTTTGTGTTCGTGGAGTTTATACTCTAGTTACTACTAGCATACTATAAAATCACAGCAACTCCCTGCATCATGAGAATGCTTATGAAAATACACATGCATGTTGTTAAAAAAAGGCTTTCAATGTCCCTCTCTAAACTTTGAAGTCCATTATTTTCTTGCTTGGTTTTGCAGTATCATATTTGATCGACTGTCTAAGAATGGAAAAATGTATTTAGAGGCTACAACTAGACATTTGAATGAATATGGAGAAGCAGGTTTGAGAACACTTGCCCTGGCTTACAGAAAGCTTGATGAACAAGAGTACTTTGATTGGAATAACAAGTTTCAGAAGGCCAAGACAGCTGTTGGGCCTGACAGAGATGCAATGCTTGAGCATGTTTCAGATATTATGGAAAGAGAGTTGATTCTTGTATTAATATATAATATATTTTACATTCTTTAAGTAAACTTGTCTATTTAAATTAATTTTACAAAATAAAAAGATTTTCTTTTTTTTATTTTTCAATTTACTTTTAAAAAGTTGGCAGATTATTATAACAACTTGTCAACCCATCCTTAAGTGAGACACGTCAAGGTGTGTAACACACTTTTAATTGGCATGCTAGATGGCCTGACCAATCTTTAGCGCGTTGACAACAGGATGGGTCTAAAAGGTCGCCCTTAGCCGTTTTACCATCGTTAGGTCTCATATTGGTTGTGGCAAGGTTACCTATTCTTGATGGTGGATTGGAAATGCTCCCATTTTGCCCTTGAGCTCTTCAACGAACTACCTCTCTTGCTACATGGTTTCACGTTGTTCTTGGAGTAACGCATCAACCTATGCTACAAGTATCACTGACAAATGGAAGAACTATCACACGATGTGAAATACTAATGTAACCACTCATTAAAGCGACATTAGGGGAGGTGTGTTAGGTGTCACACTCTTGTTCGAGGCAACAAAGGTCCCCATTTTGTCCTCAAGCAACAAATGAAGAAAAGGCAAGGGAACATATATAGCCAATGATTTTATGCGAGCAAGTATCCACTATTTTATCAAATGGGTAGATGATATCCCGCAGACGATGCAAAACTTCAAATGGAGGATATGAAAGGTACCCACAAATAGCTTCTCAAATGAAACAAAGCAACAAAGGAAGAAGAGGTAAGGGAACACAGTCAATGAGCAAGTATCCACTATTCTATCAAATCACTACAAGAAAGTTCACTATTACAGACGGCCAAAATCCGTGGATAAAGCATAATGATGTGTGGCCACGGTGAGCTCGTAATTGCTGAATGAATAAAAGAAACTTCCCTTGTCTTCTGAAAGCATTCATTGCTTTTGTAGCTACAAAAAACACAGTTTTTCTACGCAGTGCTGACGGAGGAGTGTGTTCTGTGTACAAACGCTTTAGCTATTTTAGATGGTACTTCTTTTTTTTATCAGAAGAAGCTACACTATTAAAAAGATGTTTTTTAAACATGAAGACTCTAAACATAAAAATATGTTTTTCAACTTAACATCCAAAATAAAGTTCAACCTAAACAAAATTAGAAAGTTTGTATAACATCTTATTTAAAAGAAATTCACCCACTCAACCTGTGTAATTTGCAAACCAATACAAAGGAGATTATGAAACAATAAACCTGTGAAGAATTTTTTTGAGGCCCAAGACTTATAAGATTTATAAAACAATAAATCGGTGAACATAAGATGGAATTGTTTTTTACTCACTTCAATTAATAGTAATACCCCCTTTCTTTTCTTTCTCAAGGCAAGAATTTTAAGATAAAAATATACAATAGGCTAATTCCATTCCGTTTTATATTATTAAATTATGTTTAATTTCACTCCATCCAAATTTTTTTTAATATAATTGTGTGTATGCAAACATTGGTAACAGCCCTGTTACAATTGCATTTTAGGCTTTTGCGTAAACTACCCGCTAAACTTGAAATATTTATTAAATCTTGGGTGGCTGATATCAAAGTTAAACTTCGTATTATTAGCATTGCTCGACCCAGGGTCAAGTCCTTTACCTTCATGAGAATAAAACATACAAAAGCTACACACGATACGATCTAATTAGTAGAGAAACTGGTGATTAAATAACAGTTCTACTTGGCGTTCAACATTATTTATCCACCAAATGTTATGGTAGTTACACTATTTATGCATTTAGAAATTTATCCAAAATCCAATTGATCGCCTACGGATGTGATCAAAGTAAATCATGTTTATTCAGTACTAAACAGTAAAACACAGTTCAAAGCGTTGGCCACAAAGCACAGAACCAAAACTCAAACACGCCAATTTCCGAAGCAGCTTGAAAGGTAGCAGCAGCAGCATATCAGTTCCTAACTACGAATTTCAATTCTTCTTCACAGTGGCAGAGTTTATGATATCCACGAACTCCGGCTAATACAGAGAAAAACAAAAATGTCAACAGCTGCTTAAATGCAATACAAGAAACCAACCACAACGAAAATAGTGGGGGAAAATCACCTTCAAGGAGGCACCACCAACCAAAAATCCATCAACATCGGGCTGTCCTGCCAATTCTTTGCAGTTTCCTCCATTTACAGAACCTACATTGAATAAATGTTCATTAGATATGAAATTACCAATATGTAAACCATCCAAATCTCGAATCTAGATATATCAAATGAAAACCTCCAAGGACCAAGACAATTAAATTAAACCTATGAATATTGTAATAGGAAATTAAAACTATCATTAAAAAAATTCTGACAATCTCTTATGGACCAAAATCAAGTAAATAACAAGCATGGTGTGTGCTCTCCTTATTAGCTCTCATTCTCAAGAGTCATAAAACTGACCATGTTAATAATAAAAGATTAGAACAATATCTTATGAAACAATCTTTGACATACATCTACAAGTAACTGCCTATGTAATTCATTTCCTCGATACAGGATAATGTGCATCCAAGTTTACCTCCATAGATAATTCTTACAGATGCAGCAACTTCAGCACTCACATTGCTGTGAATCCATTTCCTCAAATCAGCATGGACCTATGCCAGACACCCAACATTGTCATGAGAACAGAAGAACACAATCTACAAGTAACTATTATACACAAATACTATATTAGGGGTACTTAGATAAGGAAATAATGAGGGACATCAACCATCTAAATAAACAAACGTGCAACAACAATAAAATAAAAAATAAAAATACAATAGTGGCAAACAAGCTTTCACTAAAACAATAGTATTCTTAACAAAATACAGGCAAACCTACCTCTTGAGCCTGAGCAGGAGTTGCAACCTTTCCTGTTCCAATGGCCCAAACTGGCTCATAGGCCAAAACAACATTGTCCCAGTTTGATATTTTATCTGTAAATAGTACCAAGGTCAGTGAAAATGCAGTTTGCCAACAAAATAGCAAGTGACGAGATAATGATAATCTGTTGAACCAGTTTCTTAACAATAACATCAAAGACTTCCATACAATATGTGTGAGAAAATCTAAGAAACAAAACATGACTTAGTGTACCTGCGATTGCTTTTGTTTGCTCAGCAACAACAGTTATTGTTGTTCCAGCTTCACGCTGTTCAAGAGTCTCCCCAATGCAGGCAATAACTTTCAGACCTTGTGAAAGTGCATATGCAACTTTATCTCCCACAAACTGTTGGTAAAACATTTGTTAAATGTTATGCTTTTAGCTATTACAAACAACTTCACAAAGTATAATGTATAGCAAAAGAATATATAACCAGAGAAAATCAAACACTGCGTACCTCATTTGATTCTTGTAAAAGCTGCCTCCGCTCAGAGTGACCAATGATAACCCAGGGAATTCCCAAATTAACAAGCATTTCGGCACTGTTAATACAAAAGACAAAATGTCAGCTATTAAAAGACTATGGGGTAAAAGCTTTGAGAATATGTGCCTTAGTGTTTATAAAGAATTGACATGAAGAGGGGAGGGGCGGAGTGCTAAACAGTCTTATATGGTTCCACTGAAAATGGGATTAGGAAGATCAAAACCCTTCAGCAGCCATTAGCAAAAAATAACTAAACGCAGAGAACATGACCAAATAAAAAAAATTGAAGAAAAAAAAACAGGTAACATACCTAACCTCTCCGGTATAAGCACCACCTTTGCGAACCCAACAGTTTTGTGCTGCGACATGGAAATCAGGGCGCAGTAAACCTTTTACAACGGGAAGGAACACATAGGGAGGGCTCACAACAACTTCTGTAAAAGGGAAACACATTTATTAGCCTATGTCAACGTCCTTAACACAATCATCAACAACGATAAAAATAGGATGCACTTATTTGCAAAAGAAATAATTGAGGAGAGATACCAAAAATGGATATATGATACCAGTAAAGAAACTGCAATTAGTTCAACGGGTGCCAGAAACTTGATAGTAGATTTATTTTTAAGCCAAAGGCAAAATACTAATTGCACACAGGGGTACATAGGAAATACCATCGATGCCATATAAGGAATATAACAACTAAAGAGTGGCTCTGAATTAAAAAAGACAGAATTAGAACCTCTCAAGTACTCTGTACTTTTGTGATTATACTAACTGTTTCGCACAAAAAGAGACAAGCCCATCAAATCAAAAGCTTGCTAAGACTCACCCACAACATCCTCTCCCGGAACTTTAGCTTCATTCAAAGTCGTAACAATCTTCTTCACCTCCTCAGTGGTCCCATTCTGCAACAAAATCAATTCGAAGCGTCAGATACACTGATGAATCACCTTGAGACTTCAGAACACGAGTCGATTCAATAATTAGTTGCTTGCTTCCACAACAACACGGCCAAATCAGATCCATTCACACAAGCACAAATACATTCAAGGTCATGAAAAAAAAATGTTAAAGTGAGTGTTTCCTTTGCATAAATCGCTAACGAGGACAAGGATCTTAGTCCAAAGAGTGTCATTTCTACCATGTACATGCTAGATCGGGAATAAAAGGTATCACACATCAAATCAAATGATTCACAAACAGAAATGAAACACTTCGATCTGATAGTTACAAGCATTCTACGCTCTTAAGATAGCTTTAGAGCTCAGCCTAAACCATGATCGAGTTTGATCACGTGCGAGATCTCATTGAAACAAAATCAGACATGCAAAAACATAAAGGTAAGTGGTGAAGAGAAGATTGAAACATACGCATTTCCAGTTGCCGCCGATGAAGAATTTTCTGCCCATGATTTTGTTTCGATAGGAACGATAAAGAGAAACCCTTGTTGTACGATGCAAGTGACTGAAGGAACAAGCCTTATCACCGTTTTATAATGCGGATAAACCGAATATGCTTCAAGACTTTTCCTTTGCCTTTCCTTTTTCTAAAAAACATTAAAGCCTAGTTTAGTCCTTAAATTAATAAATAATCATTTAATTATTACTAATATTTTAAATATTTATTATATATAATTAAATATTATAATAAATTATATATATATAAATATTATATTTAGATTTACGATAAATAATTTATATGACAGAATAATATTATTTATTTATTGATAATTTAATTAAAAATTAATTTATAAATAATTATGATAAATAAAAATTAAATTAAATAAGAAATTAAAAAATTAAAAATTCTGTTGTTCAAAAAAAAATTCACTTTCTCACGAGTTAGGACTTTATATTTAATATATAGATGTTAATTTTCATATAAAATATACAGAAAATTTAATTCTTCTAAAGTGATAAAGTGTATTTTAGGAGATAAAGTATACTCATAATTATTATTTATGGAATCAATAATTAAGAATTGTTTCAAAATTATTTTTTGTAGAATAAAATCTAAAATTAATTATAATATGAATTGTTGATTTTTTTAATAGGTGGTTATTATTGTACTTTATTATCTAAAGTGCAATTCTTGAATGAGATCCAAAATGTAATACAATTTGTCTCAAATATAAGATCATTTTCACATTTTTGTTTGTCATTTATTATAAGATTATTTTTTAATTTTCAGTTGTATTAATTATATTTTTTCAAAAATATTCTTATTTAATTAACAAAATTTTAAACAAAAAGTGATAAATGTTTGAAATTAAGTGAATAGAATTTTCCCTCTCTTATTATAATCAAAGAAGAAAAATAGACACATAACTATATTTCTTCTAACCAATAATTAATTGGGTAAAAAAATTATGTGAAAAGAGAGAATATTAATTTAAAAAAAATAATTTAAATTTTTGACAGATTTAATATTCTTAACTAAATTAGCTTATTTTCTTAAAATACAATTTAATTTAAAAAATTTATAATTAGGGAAAGAATATTA